CCTACTGCTCCATCAAAATCTGAACAGGAAAGCCAGCAGGCATCCAGGTCAGTCAATCATTCAATCAATTCAGCAAAAGCTGATGAGTGTTCTTGCACGCCACAGAAGCACGACCGAATGTGATTAGCGTTCAGGCTTTTCATGGAGGCACGATCGAAGTTGATGGGTGTTCACTAACGCCTATCAGACAGCCTGGATCAATGTCAGAAAGCCCCCTTTAAATAGTGGGGGCCGTTGTCACTTTTGCTATCGTACTCGCAGGCACTCACCCTCTCGCACTCACTTGTTCGGAATATAGCTGTTGTGTTCCCTTCTGTGAGTCTTCTTCTCCGGCAACTAGGCAGTGGACCGGGTCAGCGGCAGATACCTCAGATTGGCGAATCAGCAGATATAACACAATCAGCTACGTATTCACGTCTACTTCTTACATGTGGCGACAACTGTTCACCCCACAATAAACCGTCCATTAATCAAAACTCCAGTACTGTGCATATCGTCAGTAGTTTACTGCAATTAGAATAAGGCATATAGCCATGATGATTTGATACGCTTCAAGGTCAGTGGTTTAAAGTGAGTGTTGCCTAGAATCACAAAGTTAGAAAAGATCTTCACTGAGGCTGTCAAATAAGCTATGTATGTTTTCATAAAGGAAACTACTCACAAGCTTGCTGATAGCCCACAACCGGTTCCTCCCTTCTTGGGACTCATCAGGTAGGCGCGGTCCCCGAGTTTCCGTCAACCTTATGTTCATCTGCAACTGGTGGCAAAATTTGTCCCTGATAATTAAAGTCGGATAACTGTCATCATAGAATTGAATAGGTTTGGTACATGGATCAACCCTTTGACTTATTTACTAAGCAGTCACACATCTGAAACCTTGTCCTTTTTTAAAAGAAAGTGCAACCAGAGCCAACATCGGGCTCTGGCAACTCAGGCTTCACTCAATGCATCAAGGACTATCCCTTACCGAATGAGTTCTTTTCAGAGAAGGGCAGTTCAAATTTGAAACCCATCTTCTCCATCCCTATCACGTTTACGTTCTAGGCTTGAGGCGACTCGGAATGCATCTTTATTGGATTACTTACAATTCACCTTAGGGGCGTTTTACTATTTACGCTACTGGAAATACGGGCTTGTTTTGATTTCCCGCGCGAGCTTTTAACATAGTAGCTATGCCTGAAAATTAGCGGAGAGTCTGCTACGGATCGGACAAGAACGCCTAAATGCCTGACTTCCAGTACCATCTTGCATAGAGAATGATTTGTGAAGTATAGTAACAGTATTTCGGATGCCCTCGCAGTCACTGCCAACTCCTCGGTGATTGGTTTTCAAGGATGACTTTTTATAGCTCTTCCTTTCTTGGGAAATGGGACCTGTCATCCCCCACCCGACTGGTCTACGCTAGCCTTTTGTGCGTGCCTTAAAATTAAGGAATCAAGTGTATTCTGCGAGAAATTTGCAAGACTGAGGGTCGACAACCGCTGCAAGGAAGCTGCTGTAGGACGGCTACTCATGACATTCGCGTTTTTAACCGTATTCTAACCAATGAAAGAAAGAAAGAAAGAGAAAAAAACACAAGCTAATATACTACAAAGGGGTGGAGTTATTTGAGCTCCATGTGCATGCACAGACTAATCAGATTTGAACTGAACTGAATAGAAGCTTTGCAAGCAGTTGAGGGCTTAAGCAACATGTATGAATTATGTACCAGCCCCGTTGCTCAAGAGATAATGAGCTTTACTCATATTCCCGTTCATTATCAGGGAATGTGTGCTTCAATTTCACCTAATTTCATCTGTCCTACCACGCTGGTATGTTACTAAAGTTTCAGTTGGGCTCGCTGGGAGTACGTGAAACTTCATGGGCTCGCTGGGAGCACGTGAAACTTCACAGTCGTGAACAAACCAATGTGTTGATGCTTGGAAGCTGTGCGTAATTTTTACCACATTAGCGGAAAGTTCCAAATGATAGCCCGGTGAGTACTGCGAACCTCAAAGCAGTTCAGAACTGCGCCAACTGATCCGACAGGCTCTACATCCGTGGAGCTAACTGGAAATCTGGACAGGTGAAGAATCCACTTAGCTATCCAGGATTATCAAATTGTTTGCAAGACATCCTACCTCCCTCAATCATAAACTCGCTTATATATATATATATATATATAATATCTATAACTGACTACCTGATGATCACTTACACAACGCCTGTGTACCATCCACTGGAAGAGTTAACTCCATACCAGATCTTCGTATTTCATCCGCCATGTCATTTAGAGGTACCCTCTTGAAATGAAGTCGTCCTCACCAGAAGAAGCATATTCGATCTGAGTGATATTCTTTACTAACTAGAAAACTTAGGGGATCATCTTTTTATGGTGAAGATCAAGTCAGAGTGTCCAAACAAATAGATAACCTTCGAATAATTTCATTTTTCAACCGCAGTCAGTCCGGCTTTTGATGGACAAATCACCAAATGCAGCCTAGATGGCCCGAGGCTGTATCGGTCTGAACGCTATACACAGGCCAACCTGATGTGACAGGTATTTGAAGTATCACGTGGGAAAATCCCATTGTAGCTCACTTGGTCGCGGGGAGCACTAACAAGGACATCTTGGCTGACAATAGAAGGGTTGGGGGTAGTCTATTCTACAGGCTAGTTCCTTCTTGGACTGACCTCTCCATAGAGGCAACTGTTTTTAAAATGAGGCAGATCCTGGGTACGCGGTTATTTCGAGCGCATTGATATGCCGGGAGCTGACATGGCATGGGCTTCGCACACTCTATTTCTGTCTATATGTTTGTATATTTTGGCGGTACACACGGATGAGTTTGGTACATGAGAAAACCTCTGAGCTTGGCATCTCCTGCGCTCGTGCTCTGGTCAATGGTGGAGTGACCTATGTTTTTGACCCTCCCGAGTTCCGGCTTGTGACCTTCATTGATCTGACTCCAGGAAGTTTCAATTTGCTTTTCGGTAACGCTTGTGACCTTCATTGATCTGACTCCAGGGAGTTTCAATTTGCTGTTGCTACCGGTAACAGCAACAACAGGAAATTATTCGGGACCGCTGTTATTCCACGTAAACCAAGGATATCGGAGGTCATTCGACGAATTCCAAAGACGGCTAACATTAGTGTAGCATTCCAGAGGGACAACACTCTGCGCTGTGTACGTGTGCAACTGAAGGATCGCCTGTCGGAAAACAGAGCCAGGGACTCTGTCTACGAAATTAAGTGTAACGACTGCGCTAAGGTCTATATGGGACAAAGCACTTGGCCTCAGAGTCCCAGAAACGTTAGCAGACGCGCGATCTCGTCTCCGATAATAGCTGATCTCAAATGACCAATATGTATTTCTTTTGCAATGTCGGGTGAAGACATGTCGATCAAAACTGAATAACGGAGAGCTAGTCGTGGTGGCTGAACGCCATTCGTCAGTATTTTCTTGAAGTCACTTATCACAAAAGCTTAGGAGGTTTGAATATTGATAAGTCCTGGCTCAGCAACTCCCCCCTTTTCCAACAAGTCATTTTGTGGGGGGGGATCACTGCAAGACTTTGCAATAGGAGAAGGGTTCGTCGTTGCACCATAAGAGCCCGACTCCTTGGAAAGTCCGACTTCGCCGTTGCACTGCAGATAACCGAAACGCTAGTTGTTAGGAACAATCACCTGCACTTTATGACATTTGTGACTAGAAAATGCACTCTTCACAGCAAAGTGAAGAAAAGCCTTGACTGCTAGCAATGTTGTGGAATGGAGGTAGCTCGGATACGCTGCTTAGTTGTTGGTCTGTCTGCCGAACTTGGCAGTTGGATTGCAGACGTTTCATGACCAATCGAGGTGACATCGTCATGCAATCCAACTGCCAAGCTCGGCGAACGGACCAACAACCAAGCCTTGACTGCTTTTTGGAAATTTACAAAGTGGTTGGACCATTCAGCTTGAAAAGCTTTAGTGGTTGATTCCAAGTGATGTATTCTGTAAAGTAGACCATCTTTTCGGTCGTATAGCTGCTTGATTTCAAGGTATTGAGGTTCAGACAGCACATCTTCAAACTTTTGCTCAAGTGCGTCTACATACGCGACCTCTGATTTGATCATTTTTATAATTCGGACGATCAGAAATCGACGTCTTATTGTTAGCTGACAATAATGGACGGCTAGATAGATATCAGTCACTTGACCGTGCACCAATATGCACGACAGAGAACCGTATTCAACTGTTAGGTGCCACACACCATCTTTGCTCTTCTTCGTGGTATCTTGGGATTTTTCACGATTTGATATCAGCCTCCATCCGGTGCTTTTTTCGTTTTGTGCTTTCCTATGCATTTGTACGTTTGTCGCTTTCCTACACTTACTAGACCGCATTCGTTCACAAATTAATGCTATCAGTGACTTCATTTTCTGAAAAAATATCTTAAAAGCAGCGTGCTGTACGAAAACTGTTTGAAAATCTATCCTGAAATCTTCTGCGATGAGTACGGCAACTACGTAAGAGGAGTAAATGTACGAAGTTAATTCGCTTACCGAAATGTGAAGAAAATTAGAGCAAGCGATGCAAACCAATCGGCAGAACGATTGATAAATTATCTTTTGTATACCTACGCGTGAAATAAGGCACGTTCTCATCCGTTACGTAATACTGAGCTCTGTTTTGAGGAGCGAACCACCTAAAATGCAGTGCAAACCCAAGAATCTCTAGCCTAAGGACCTAAACATCAGCCGTGGACGTCCAATGCGTTCCATACGACCGATCTATTGTGTCCAGACTTTGTTTTATGAGCTCCTTAAAGCCTGTATCGGCCATAGCATTCCCCGCCAAACTAATCTTGTCACAAAACAACAATGCATCCTCTGATATCTCCAAACGATTCACTAGACCAGCGGTCGTCTTACTAAATAAACTAGAATATTAATTTAGGTTTAAAGTCACAAAACTAACCAAACCCGGACCACAGGGTGTTGAGTAGTTAAACGCGTCTTCTTTCCCTTGTGTAGATACCAATTATGAGTTTGCACAATATGAGTGGGGCTCCTACCCCGCCGAACAAGGATTCAACTACGGTAATTTGATATACCCGGTTGAAGGGGAACAGCTTCAGTGGACGGACGCAAATTCCGAATCATACCCCTCAGCTGTGACTTCAGCTGGGCAGCTGGCACAGACGTCACCAAGTCTATCTGGCTGGAATGGGAGTGCCAATACCTTGGGCCAGACGAGCGACCAGCCTGATTACTGTCCATCAAACGCTAACCGCCTACGCCATGAGGGCAACGAGATGCAACCCGTATTGGAAATCCCTGAGAGGCAAAAGCTTGCAAAACGCGCACGAACGGCGTATACACAAACACAACTAATGGAACTGGAGAAAGAATTTTGGTACAGTCAGTATCTGTGTAGACCACGACGGATAGAGATTGCTTCCAGCCTACGGCTGTCAGAAAAGCAGATCAAGGTGAGTTCCTCAACAACATTTAAAATGACTTACTAAGTATCTTGCGAGTAGTGTACATCATATTTACAAACATCTTTCCTTGAGTCTGAGAAATGGACACGAGAGCAGTAATCTCAGAGAGGATACTGGGAATTCCTGGCGCTGAAAGGTTTTCGGTTTAATAGAGTAGAGACAGTGCGTTTAGATCTTAGGGATAATGAACTCGACAAGCTTCCCCAACCTCACGTCAAAGGTTCCCCCGAATATCAGTAAGGCGTGAGCTGATGACGCGTGACACACGGTACCGAATGTCGTGACAGTCATGTTCAGTCTTAAGCTTTAATGTGTCCAATACCAGAGGGTGGTGGCCAGACTTAATCCGAATCTGGTAATGGAAATTCAAACTCGAGCGACCAAGAGCCGAGAAATCGCCAGTAATACCAAAGGACCGATCGTCCCTGTTGACAGCCCTCTTACACAGAAACAGAAAAATGATTGGGTAAAAAGCTTATGCCTGAGAATCTGCCGAGTTTGTCGGAAGTTTACTAGTTGTTTGGTCATTTCAGGGGCAAGGTGTGTTCATTTTTTGAATTAATAAAGGAAAATTCAATGAAATTCGCAACTAACTACAACAAAAATAAGCTGCGCTTGCATCATAGCTACCTTTAGAAAAAACTGGAGACAGCTTCATGCTGCGAAGACTCCAAACACATCGTCATGGTCTAAATACCACAGTTTTTCATTCAGGCTCGTCGACAAATGTCCAGATAATACAAATAAACCCAGTGATGAAAGAAGCAGTTCTTCTAGATTGTTTATTATTAGGAGACTCAGCTCCGAACGTAAAGGGGCTACATAACAGCCAACGGAATAACCGTTTTTCGTTGAGACAGATTTCATTGGTTGTTCTTCGCTCGCCCTTGACAGATGAGTCTTAGTCTTAGTATCACTTTTCTTTGACCCGCTTGTACGCGACAGTGATTGATAGATTAGCCGGTTCGCACGTTTGTTTACTTTTTCTGGTTTGGCACACGTTTGCTGACTTTTTCTGGTTTGACCAAGTGGCAGCGCAGACTTTCAATCGCAGTTCTTCGTTTTGCTATTCGAGATTGTCATACCCGTGCGTGTCTCAAAGTTCCCCATCGGGAACCTCACCCACACACACACATCTTCAACCTGAACAGTCTAGACTACAACTGAACTTGAGAAGGGCGAGTGGAACAACCCTTTTCATTTCATATACAAACCAATCTTCAAACACGGAACCTCCACCCTGTGTATTTAGCGAGAAAGCAGTTATCTGAGCACAACTGACGCATGCTTACATAGGGACTGTGGGGCACACATCTACCATCAGATATACCAATCAGGATCAGGTTAATCTGAGCACAATTGACGCATGCTTACATAGGGGACTGTGGGGCACACATCTACCATCAGATATACCAATCAGGATCAGGTTATAGAAAGAAGAGTGCTTTTTTTTACAAAAAGAGGATCGGTTAGTACACCAAGTATAGCAAAGAACATAATGATTCTTTCCACATCTGAGGGTTTCCAGAAAGAACCCCAGTTGCAAGATGAGGTGGTATAAAATGAATCATACATATGTTTCCGGTCCCCAACAGCACCGTTAGGTAGTCGAGCTAACACTAAAAAGCTGACCAACACACGTGGTTTATACCGAAGTTGCAGCACAGTCACTGTGGCTGAAATAAAAGTTCATAGCAGGTTGGACGATGTGTAGAACAGGTGGTCGGAGAAAGTCACCTTCTGCTGGAGACTTACCTGATCTGTCAGCGCAGAGGAATACTCACCAGTTCGAACAACACTGTTGTTTTCCCACGGTTTGATTCAACTTCCTTGAGGCGTATTCGCTTACTTCTTCAATTGAAATTTCGAAAATTTGCTCAAAGGCAAGCGAATTTCAAATGGTATGATGGATATTTAGTTTTTTTTTGGAAAATGTAGCCAATCAAAAGTGACATGACAACCTAAAAATATTTCCCCTCTTCTTTTATGATATTTCCAGTCCGATAATGTAGGAAATAGTTCAGCTATGGCACCCTTTCGGTGCCAAGCTGCTATGCCAGCCAAAGGAAGCACGAGGACTGGGATACTGGCAGGTTGCCTAAACCTAGACAGGGGAAATCAAGAGGCAGAGGTCGGTTTCGAACCACGGACCGTGCGGTCAGTAAATTCGCGCTCTAACCACCAAGCCATTACTCAAAAATTAACAACTGTTACTGATACGTGCCAAGACGAAAAGAATTCACGTTTGTGGAATTGTGGGAAATGGAGTGTAATTCATCTGAACGCAGGGGGGCAATAGCGTCAGACAGATGCGTGTGCAACTATCGATATGCGGTTTGTACACAAAATGACAGTCAACCCAAAGGGTCGGGCGGTCGTTTCAAAGTCATCGTCATCATCATCATCGACAGCATGACATCAGTGTTCAACACCGATGCTTCACTGCCGTACGTTTCAAAGTAGGAAACCAACGATCAATCGGCATGAAAAATACCTTGAATCACGATATCATGAAGTTTTCTGTGATCATTTACACCGGAGCACTTCAGTGCGATTAACTGCACCGACACCACTTGTGTTAGGATTACGCATTTAACAGACTGTGGACAGAGTGGTAGGTGTCACAAGGCATCACAGTGCTAGCAGACTTCACAAGACTTATCAACAGTAACAGCATAGTACAACCCAATCCAGTCTTTGGGCCCCTAGACAACCAAATAGCGCATGGTACAAAGAATTTGCAAAATGTCGAGGATTGTACTGCATTGGCGGTAAGACAAACAGTAACTTCCCAGGTCGCGACAGATGAGTTTGTTCTCGTTGAACTAAGATGTTGACCTTAACCACGGCTATCCTCACCAAGTGCATTCATCCGAGAAGATACTGAAGTGAGGAATTTTAAAATCTTAGCGAGAGAATCTTGATACCCTACGGTAGTTATCATTGAACAACCCAAAAAGTCCGAGTAAAGTGACGTGATTCCCAGAAACTATAAGAATTTAGACCGATTCCATGCATCTTGAAGGCGGCCTTGGGTGTTGAATTTAGCATTACATGTGAATATGTGGATTTCTAGCATTTCATACCTCTTTACATCCCACAACCTACTCTTATTGGTTATCAAATCAGGTTTGGTTTCAAAACCGTCGAATGAAATTCAAGCGACAAAAACAGATTGGAGCCGGCGATAATCCCATCGGTGAGTACAGAGGATTTCCAGGTCCGTCGGAAGAATCCCGCCTACCTTCCAGTTGTCATCACTCACATATGGACTTGCTCGGACATTCGCATGAGCATAGAACCTATGAGAAGATGAACTGTTTTGTGAATCACAAAACTCAGTACCAAGCGGACCAACAGCATAACCTCGCTCCCGTTCCCATATCTATTCAGACAAAACGAGACTGCGATCGATTGGACTCAAGTACCGGTCATCAGCTCCATGGATTTTGCAAAAATCATATTACGCTAGTTCAACAAAGCGTGGAGTCTTGGACCACGCGTAAAGAACGTATGATACTTCAATGCGCGGAAGAAAGATGCATCGATCGACTGGAGAGTGAAAGGCAAGCTGCTGTGGTGTTTGGATCATCGTGTGTGACACCAAGTGAATCGAGCAGAAACAGATTGGTTGGTAACGAGGCAAAGTCCAGGATAACTGATAATGAGCTACCCAGGAATTTCATGTGCACTCCTGACCTTATTACAAATTATCGTTGGGTTGAATCAAACAACAGTTCACAGTCTGTGTATCTCGAAACCCCAACCAACAACGGATTCCGTTCATCAGAGTTTGATCCAGTTCGACCCGATATTATCCCTCCTCCGCAGTTAATACCTTACGAGGTTTGTCCCTGTCGCACCTTTGGCCCAAACCCGCGGTATTAATTTGCTCATTCCCACAACTCTTTTTTGTAGTTTCGAAAACTCTCTAGTCCATCGACCCTCATTGATTGTGTGATTATCAATACGTGAAATCGCATCTCTAAGCATCTAAGTCCAGTCCATAAAGTTCATCCTCCGTGGGGGTAATTTTTTTCGATCGATTTATTTTCTTCGCTCTGTCAGTATACTCCTCGAAGATGCTTTAGTAACCTAGAAAGCTGAAGATTATTTATTTGAGTTCATGTACAGCAAACGATGTATTGTTTATTCAATAAAAAATTGGATACCTGGAAGTGCGGGAAAACCAAAACTGTGGGTATGGTGTACTATGTGATTGATAAACTAGCAGCATACAACCAACAAGAGTGGATAAGTATAGGGATGTCCGGGGTTCGAATCCTGGTACGGCCATCGGGTATGCACTGCTGATGAGCTCTAATGAGAGCGAAACTCGAGTCCAGTGTTTCCCTTTTGTGTACATTCACCGGAATAATTACTCCAGAGCAGAAGGATGACCGTTCAAGCGAAAGTGGTGTGACTATAAACAAAATACCCACCCCGCAAAACCCCAAAATTGCAAGTATAGGGATCTTGGTTTGGAGAACTGTGACGATCTCTCGACCGCTGTGATCGCATCTATCACTTTGTTGCGGTGACGAACACGAGTTTTACTGCGGACTAATAGTTTTTTCAGCATGCTTCCCTTGACATGAGGGAAAGGATGGGGGGCGAATTCGAAGTGCTGAGATTCTACGCCTACTCTTTGTGTAGATTTCGGAGCAACTCAGTAAGAAGTCTTCCTTGGGAGGATTTGAGAACGGATCCTGGCCTTCAGCAGATTACGCCTGTACTGAGCCTGCCAGACTACGCGATAAGGAGAAGACAGAGAACTCGGGACACGGCTGTATTGTCAGGAAAAAAAAACATGCAGAACTTCTGCGTAAACATATGGGATGACCAAATGGCCAAATATGGTCGTCCACGTGTTCGTTCTGTACAGCCAATGGCGGTGTTCCGGTGGTGAACGATTTCAGCCCCACTCCACTGGTCTTATGTTGTTGAGCCGTGTTTGGTGGGCTCCGCCGAAGCACCTGTTTTCCAAACATGTTGTATCGATAGTGATCTTGGGGATACGTCATCCTCTGCTCATGTATTTTTTTTATGTCTGGGCGCGTCCTGACAGTGACAACGGATTGACTGAACACAACTAATATCTAGATTGTGCAAAATAAGATTTTTAGCAGCGGGTGTCAAAATAATGCCTGAGCTGGAGGAAAACTGCTGGAAATTCCCCAACGGCCCACCATCGATCTTGCGGCTCAACATAAACGGCATATTCGGCTGGGATTCAGTAAAGTGTCCGGCTAGAAGTAAATGAGTGTAGTTCGTGAATTGCAGAAAGGTTATGTTGGTCAAAATCGGTGCACTCATTCCTGATCCTTTGCTTACATTCGATTCATCAATGAGCCGCAACTAAGTAAAATATCTCAGCGATATGAAAAGTATGAAGGGCCTATATTGTCGAGGTCGATTATTAATACAGGCAAACTTTTAGAGGCAGAATTCTCTTTTGTCTGATCTTCTTCACCTAGAGTTGTCGATGGTATCAGATTCTACTAAAAAGGTTAACCAGACACTACGTATGTCAGCCAAATACGGTCTACGGTTCGATCCTCATCTATCCCCGAATACCATTCGTCAAGTTGAAAGCCCTTCAGAATTTGTCATTGTAGCACCACAAAGCTTGATTTGTCCGAGAAACTCCCTGTTTATGAACAGAAATTGAGGTCCAGAACCGAGCGCGGTAGAACTTAGATGCTGTCAAAAAGCCGAACATTCCCAGCAAGATGAAACTTGGTGATCTGTCTGGATAAGTGTCTACTTCCTAGCCTGATATCCTCAAGATAACTTGGAAATTATCTAATTCTCAAAAGCTCACTGAAGACACAAAATAGCTTCAGCATGGAGTGAGCTCGCAAGCCGGCGCCACATTTTTTAAGGCCATTCGGATATCTAAATATTCAAATTGAGATGCCTCAGCATCTTTGATAATTCCCCCACAAAATCCGTGAGGTGAATCACAAATGTTGATAGGAGTGGAGATGCAAACCTCCGAGTTTCTTGTCAGAAACTGAGCATATCTTTGGATGGCATAACTTCATTCTTGGCTTTCCGTCAAAATAGCGTGCGATTCGTCCCAGGTTAGATAAAGAATTTTAATCGAGGCATCGTACGGAAAGTAGCATGCAAATGAGCGCGAGAGAGAGAGGGGGGGGGAGGGGAGATGGCCCAAGTGGTTGGAGCGCGAATTTACTGACCAGACGGTCCGTGGTTCGAAGCCGACCTTTACCTCTCGACTTCGCTGTCCAGGCTGGGGCAACCTGGCGCGCGAAAATCGTAGATACACAGTTTGATGCCATGTAGCTAGTATGCACCATGGGTCAAACCTCAATCAGAGAACTGACGGGACGCGATGTCTATCAAGAAGACACTTGGGCGTTCCTTTGGAATTACGATCAATACTGACTGACGTGACTTCAAGGATGGAGCGTGAAGAGTGGTAACGCGGAAATGTCTTCAGAAATTCCTGGAAGCAAATTACACTGTGATCAAATTAAGCACCTGACAACCTATATTACATTCTGTGCGAAATCAAGCAAGTATGAAGTTTTCACCCACCTCCTAATCAAAATATGGCGATAATGAAACAAACTTGACACAGATAAGGAATCAGACAGAGGCCTCATTGTTCCCAGCGACAGAAGTTTTTTCATTGAGCCTAAATCTCCAGACCAGATTGCACAGGAAACCGACTGGCATAAAAATTGCTATTTCCAGCAAAAATCAGAGGACTGAGATGTTTTAAATAAACTGATGAAAATACAATTGCATCGCCTGAAAGAAAATCAATCGAAATGAAGTCATAAAATATCGAGATTATGAACACGTAAGCAAGCTGAAGATACTGGTTAGGATGGGAAGTATGTACACAGGATAACACAATGGTAGGTTGTGGGTAGTAGTAGGCAACGAGGTGACTGGAACTGGAACAAGGACCTGAGTTGATGTGAGAAATCGGGGAAGAATCAACTGGACAGGAAGAAATGCATCGCAAAATGAAACGCATACGCACTGAATGCCACACAGTCCGACGGTTCAACTTAAAGAAGGTGAAGTGAAGCTGCTGGCAGAGACGGCTGTTAGTCCGTTTCTGGACAAAGATTTGGAGATCAAGTAGCGCAGGATGTCCGACAGGGAAATGATACCTTGGACAAAATTCTCATCGTCCACAACCACTAGTCGGTGAACCTGCGGGCCGAAAGAGAATGCGAAATGCTAGTAGACTGGACGGTGCTACACTCACTGGAGATTGGACTGAGTCAACAATGGGATCAGATTAGGAAAAGTACAGACAAACGAGTATTTTCTTTCCGATCAGATGAACCAAGACCCACGCAACGTGTTTCAATAAGGAGAAAAGTGACTAAGTGACCAAGTTTACCTGGATACGAGCAAATTTGTGCAGAACATCCGATAAAGTGCATCTTCGATAGATATCAGCGACATCCAACGATCAACGACGACTATCCAACCAAGAGATTTTGACGATTTTCACCACGAGTTAGACATTGGTGGACGGCTGGGTCAAAACGAGTTTCACAGCAAATAGATTAGGATGAACCTCACTAGCAAGGAATGTCATTTACCTGTAAGTGAAGCCAATCTATGCTGAAAAGCCGAGAAGCACTGTACAGTTGTTTCATCCTTATTTGGAATCCGAAGAGTCTCGAACCCGCGACCTCCCGGCTAGTAGTGTGAACACTTGACCGTTCGGCCACGAGTGGCTGATCAGCAATGTGATTAACTCGCACTTAGACAGGATATAGCGCCGCTCATCCTTCAATCACGGGATCCACATCACGCGGTCACACGTGTTGACTGGCTCCTCGAGCAACGACTTCTCAAATAGACGTTTCACTCATCGGGTGAAGTTTATTCTTCCACTGAGGTGCTTATAGATTGTTGGTAGTGTGGGGAGACTAGGGATTTTTGTGGGGATTTCGTCCTGCAAGTGAAGCCAATCTATGCTGAGAAGCCGAGAAGCACTGTGCAGCTGTTTCATCCTTATTAGGAATCATCAGCAGTGCGCATCTCACGAAACTCCGAAGGCGCCATATCCTGTCTAAGTACGAGTTAATCACACTGCTGATCAGCCACTCGTGGCCGAACGGTTAAGTGTTCAAACTACTGGCCGGGAGGTCGCGAGTTCGAGACTCTTCCAAGTTTGTGCCAAAATTTCGATTGATACTTGTAGTTCCTTCTGCTGGCATCCGAGAAGTCCCTTACCCGCCGTGAACGTGCAATACATAAATGTGTCCCCTGCAGACCTACCACTGGCTATGCCGCTATGCCTCAGTCGGTCCGTCGCTCATGCTCCGAGAGTGCTACTAACACGACAGAGGGTAATGTTTCATATCAACAGCTAGCCTCAAGCCATTCGGCGCCTTCATGCTACAGGCTTAGAAATTGGAGGTGAGATCACATCCTTGAAGTTGATTTGGCGAGGGTATTCATAGAAGCGGGGTATAGTGCACACATGTGGACACAAAATAAGCCAATGAGGAAAAGAAATGGGAATTTAACCAGACTCACTCCAGATTTCACTACGCGTTCGATCACTGTACCCAGAGTATCGGTCTTACGGCAGGTCAAAGGAACGGGATATCGCTGCAGAAGAATGAAATTTGTCGGAAATAGGAGAGAGAGCGAATAGGGCAATATAAAAGACTCTTGATATAACAAACTACTTGTAAGGTTGCTGAAATATCTCCGACAGACCCGCCAATCAAAGATATCTGCTACAACATAGCATGAGTATCCATCTTTAAGAAGAAAAGAAAGAAAGCATTCAGCTGTAGCATCCTTCCAGTGCCTAGCTGCCATGCCACACGAAGGAAGCACGAGAGCTAGGATACTGCCAGGTCGCCCAAACTTAGACAGGGGAAGTCGAGAGGCTGAGGTCGGATTCGTACCACGGACCTTCCGGTCGGTAAATTCGCGCTCTAACCACTTTGGCCACCTCGCACTCCGAAGCACATTCTATGAATTCCAAACGGGATTTGAACCTAAAACCTTCCGGGAAACTGTCAAATTGACTATCATTCGGATAAGGTGGAGGAGTGAGCAACACTGAGGTTAAATTCACAAGACAAGCTATCATCCCCGTCCGCGTTGGTCACTGTTCCC